CTTTTGATTTTCGTTTTTTTGACAAAACGAAAAAACGGCTTGTTTCTGGTTTCTGCTTGTGTCAATTATTCCCGGAAAACAGACTGATAAGACGTACCTTGTCCGGGGATCTGTAGAAGCCACGCCCATTTATGTCTAGGTGAAATTTCCACCATTTTGGATTTTCTATATCTGTTTGTTCACTACTAGTTCTCAACATAATGAGCAATCGTCACCAAATTTGGTACTGAACATCTCCAGAAAAAAGCTAATTACATATTTTTGAACTATGGGAGGAAATAATAAATAAATACAATTTATAAGTCAGAGTTGGAACAACCAACCTTACAATCCCTAGGGCCATGCTGCTAACTACCGTGACTAAAACAGCAGCAGTCTTTTATATTATCATTTATTATTTGTATCACAGTGTTTTTGGCTATACATGACCACAAAAAAGCAGCTGTTCACCAGTTTACACTTGATGATGATGTCAGTATTCTACAGTCAATATAAAATTATTAAATATGCAAATATTCTATGAGGTGGATTTAAGCTGTTTGTGTTTGTTTCTTCTTTTCAGATTTTACATTTCAAAATCTTTTCATTCTTTCCAAACTTCCATTATTCTGAAGAAATAGTTATCATAACCATGGAACTGCAGAAGCAATCTAATGGTAATCACCACCATGACATCACTGGGGAGGCAGGGTATGTTTCTTATTTTGTGTCGCCATGAATTCATGGTAAATCAAGTATGTTCATATCATGTTCAGTTGAAGGAGTGCAGTGGGTTTTTTGTTTGTTTGTTCTGGATATCACAGTGTCCCGCCAGAAGAAGAAAAGTTTCTGCAACACAAGAGTGATGGATCAAAGAGACCTCAGTTCACAGATGTGAGTATGAGAGACAGGTCATGCAGCCTGTTGGTGCTCTGTGTGTTCTGTTGATACAATGTATATTCGAAACAATGAACATTTATTTTTTTAATTGTGCAAGCTGTGTTTATTTTCATGTTGTTGGGTTGGGTGAATTGTAATGTAATTGTAATGTCACAATATGCAGCCTAACATAAAATCTTTGTTTTTGTGTCTTTGAAGTTAATATTCTTATGTCTTTTCCAGTTTGAGGGTAAAACCTCCTTTGGAATGTCTGTCTTCAACCTGAGCAACGCCATCATGGGCAGCGGCATTCTGGGTCTGTCATATGCCATGTCAAACACTGGCATCGTCCTTTTCCTGTGAGTACACGAATCAGAAGGTTGGCAGTTAATTTTCCCCTGCATGTGTCCAAGATACTGAACACCAAATTTTTACCGATGCTGTGCCATTGGTGTGGAGTGTGAATGAGAATTTGTTTCTGATCAGCAGTTGGCACCTTGCATGGCAGACTCTACTATGGTCAATGGTAAATGGACCTGTACTTGTGTAGTGTTCTTCATTCAAATACCGATTCATTTGATGTAAAAAAAAACATATATAATTATTTCACTATTCAATTAATTATTTCATGGTCCTGTGTTGCAGTGCTTCGTGAATTTATTTTATCTGTCAAACTCGCCCATCAAAGTTGGTAGGCGGATCCTAACGCCTGATGTTGATGATGGTTACCCTGCGCATCAAGTCAAGACTCAATTCAGATAATGGATTGATGCAGAGTTAGCGAACACATTCCAATACACTGGGTGGCCCTATTGGACTACTTCTTCTAAATTTGCAGTCACTCTATATCTTGGTCGGAAAGTGCGAAAATAACTAAAGAACTTCAATAGGTTCCTCTGCTTTACTCGCTACATGCTCTGGGTCAGCAGGTCCTGCTTCCACATCCTCTGCTAAGTCTAAAATGTCTCAGTCTAAAAAATGAAATAAAGTGTTTAACTTTAGAAAAATAAAGTGTAGCAGCAGCTTGAGTTTCCCTTTTTCTTTGTTAACTGTTTCATATCTTGATTAACAGTCTCAACAAATTATAATAAATGAATGTCAACACATCTTTACAATTGAACAGTTTTGCAGTTTCTCTTTCTTTCCCTCTTATATCTTACGCCCCCACTTTCTGTTGTTCAGTGAGAGAATTGAGCTCTAACCTCTCTCCCTTGTTGGGCAGTGAATGAATGGGTCAGGATACTGGTAGATTGATCATATTGGGATCTGAGACTGCTTATTTTCTGTGACCTTAGTTCAGACTTGAGTGGGTATGTTTGATGAAAA